TCGCATGCACCCCTGAACTTAAAAGTCAGGGAAAATATAAATTAGAGGTAGCAGAGAATTATCTTATTCACCTTAAATGAATTTTTTCTTCACTTCTCTATATTGCTCCTTCATTTTCCCCAATTCCTTTTAATTATTTTTATATATTATATTTATATATAAATTTTTTTTTTCGAACGGAATCCACTCTGTCACCCAGGCTGGAAGTGCAGGGCGCCATCCTCAGCACACTCACTGCCAAGCTCCGTCCTCCTGGGTCACGCCATTTCCTCCTGCCTCAGCCTCCCGAGTAGCTGCGACTACGGGCACCACCACAGCGGCCTGGCCAAATTTTTTGTGTGTTTTTTTTTTTGTTTTTTGTTATTTTTAGTAGAGACGGGGTTTCATATTGGCCAGGCTGGTCTCGAACTCCTGACCTCGTGATCCGGCCGCCTCGGCCTCCCAAAGTAGTGGGATTACAGGCGTGAGCCACCGTGCCCGGCCTCATTAATAATATTTATTTCCTAAAAGCTAACTTGATGACTACTTACAAGTATTGTAAAGTGAGCTTGGCTTCTCAGTATTCGTCATTGTGGCTTTCATATTATCTTTTCACTTCTCTTTACTATAATTTTGCATAATAGTTGTCTCACACGTTTTTATGTAAATAAATTTATTGCAAACAAAAAAGGAAATAGCTGTTTATGACAAAATTTGTATAGAAATGCACAGAGAAAAAAAATCACTCAACTGCTTTTAACACGACGAAAAGTGGGTTAAGGTGTCAAGAATTTTTAAATTTTAAAATACCGATTTATCGGTAATCGAGGTTTTTTTGGACCTACTTCTTTAAGAAAAAAAACCAAAACAAAACAGCGCACTTTAGATGCTCTCACGACACCTAGCTAAATTCACTGGGAACGCAGTCTAACGTCACCAAGGCCCACCTCCCGGGCCCTAGAAATCACTCTCTGGGAACAAGCTAGGGACTTTGATTTTGCTAGCCCTGCCCCTCTGAGCCCTTCACCAAACTTCCGCGAGGGGGCGCCCGCCCCGCCACCCGCCGGGGCTCAGCACGCGGCCTTTTCCCAGCCAAGAGCCCCGTCATAGGTGGGCGCGGACCCCGAGCCGATCTCGCCTTATTAAATTACAGAAATCGGTATTCAAAAAAAAAGGGCGGGGTGGACACTCCCTCTTTTCTGTTCTCACACCCTAGCTGATTCCCAGGTTTCGGGAAACTCCACAGGAAACGGAAATAGTCTCTCCCTGGCCAGCGCGCGCTCCGGGTTGCATCACCCGCCTCGCACGGGCCGGGCGGGGCGGGGGTTTGGTGGCTGCCCTCAGTATTGCCTGCACAAATATCTACCAGGTCTGCGACGAATTGCTCCAGCAACTTTGCACCGTGTTTTCCAGTAAGCCTACCGACAGGCACTGTGCAGATTCAAGCGGAGAGAAGTCCAAGTAGTGAGGCCGCTGCTGAACTGGCCATCCTGAGCCCCTACTCGGCCTTCCCGCCTCCGCTGCCCCGCCCCGCACTAGGACCCCTGCAGACGATCAGGCGGCAGCCGGGGTGACTTCCTTCCTCTTCTGGCAACATGGCGGGCGGAGAAGCTGGAGTGACTCTGGGGCAGCCGCATCTTTCACGTCAGGATCTCACCACGTTGGTGAGGTTTTGCTTGGGGAGGATGCAGAGTGAGCTCAGGAGTGGAGTTGACCGAGCCTCCCGGTGGCATTGGTACTAGTCAGTGTCGGGAGCATGGGTCAGGAGGGAGACCTGGAGCTGGGCGCCTTAAGCCATGCTCACGCCGCCTGTACCCAGGCCAGTCCACGATCTGGGCGCAGAGGTGTACGGTCGTGGGACTTCTAGCTTCTGGAGGATTCGGCTGGAAGTCTTGATGTTGATTGTCGTGGTTTCAGCCTCTTAACGTCTGGGAAGGGAGTGTCTTGTCTGCATTACTTTTAGTGCTAATGTTCCCAAGATTGGGGGAGCCTCTGATCCCCAGATATCCCATAGTTGAGTGGAGGTGTAGTCTGTTGTGTAATGATGAAGGGCTCTTACAGCTTCCCAGCCATAAGAGTACAGAGTTACCGATAGAGGAAAGGCGCTTTAGAAGTAGTAGAAAGCTGTGCAGATGGTGGCGAGATGTAGATGGCAAACGTCAAGTCAAAGGAAAAGTTCTGCTTTGTTTTATGTGCGATGTTTTAAAATATATTTCATTGCAGGATGTTACCAAGTTGACGCCACTTTCACACGAAGTTATCAGCAGGCAAGCCACAATTAATATAGGTAAGAGTAACTTAAGAAACCTGATCTTCTTGATCTCCAACAATTAATTTTAACCTCACTTTTTGTGTGATTACCTGGATAATATGAGGATTCACATATTCAAGAAATAGATATTGAGTCCTTGTGAATAAAGCACCTGCTAGATTTGCGGGAGAAGGGAGCACAAAGAATGCTGCCCATGTCTAGCTTACAGACTTGGTAAGAAGAAAAAATGGAGACATAAGAAAAGTTTAATAGCATAAGGCAGTATGTAGTCATACGTAGCAGAAGTTTAAGGAAGAGGTGAAAATGTGGCTGTACTTGCCACACAGGATTATTTCAAGGGCTGAATTTATGAAAGATTTATTTGATGTACAAGCTGTGATTAAGTAGAGGGTTTTTTTTTCTTAATTGGCACCTGGAACTTTAGAGGAGAAGTTACGTTGACCGAGTGTAAATTTTGGACATTTTGAGTTTGTACAAACAGCATAGTTAAAAAGTAAGACTAGTTTTTAACCTAGTTAAAAAGTAAGACCCCACCATGAGGCTATTAAAGTTACAGTATTACAGTCTGAAGCTTTAACTTATTAATGCAAACAAAGCCCAAATAAGCCTACAGGCCTTAAACTACTGCCCCTGCATTAAAAATTTTGGTTGGGGTGACCTCGGAGCATAACTTAATCTCCGAACAACCTATGCTAAGACTATACCAGTTAAAGCGAATTACTATGCATATATTGACCCAATAATTTGATCATTGGAACAAATTACAATTAAACTTAGGTTGTTTCCTTGTTTGTTCACAAATCCCTTTTTGTTGTGTCAGGGCCCATCATACCTGTTTACTTTAATCTGGAAATGCTGGAAGGTTCCTTAATATATAAAGTTCTGGCTGGGTGCAGTGGCTTATGCCTGTAATCCCAGCACGTTGGGAGGCGGGTGGATTGCTTGAGTCCTGGAGTTGGAGACCAGCCTGGGCAACATGTCCAAACCCCATCTCTACAAAAAATACAAAAAATTAGCTGTGTGTGGTGGTGCATGCCTGCAGTCCCAGTTACTAAGGAGGCCGAGGTGGGAGGATTGCTCGAGCCCAGGTGGTTGAGGTTGCATTGCGCTGTGATCAGGGCATTGCACTCCAGTCTGTCCCAGAGTATGTGTTTTAAGTAAAGCTGTTACATGGAAGTTTCTCTTCAGTCCTATATGAGAACACGTTTCTAGTAGGAAGGGGTATGGAGGAGGAAAAATGGAAATCACTGTTGGTTTTATGTTGATATTTACAGTAAGTTATGGCTTTGGCTTTATTTTATTTATTTTATTTTATTTTATTTTATTTTATTTTATTTTATTTTGTGATAGAGTCGCTCTGTTGCCAGGCTGATGTTCAGTGGTGCGATCTCAGCTCACTGCAGCCTCCACCTCCTGGGTTCAAACGAGTCTCCTGCCTCAGCCTCCCCAGTAGCTGGGACTACAGGCACGCGCCACCACGCCCAGCTAATTTTTGTATTTTTGGTAGGATGGGGTTTCACCATGTTGGCTGGGATGGTCTCGATCTCTTGACCTTGTGATCCAAAGTGTTGGGATTACTGGCGTGAGCCACCATGTCCAGCCGGCTTTGGGTTTTCTACACTTAACACTATTTGAAAAAATATTTGGTATGTAATTAAATACACATGAATTAATATTTTGAACTTTGACCATAGGTACAATTGGTCATGTAGCTCATGGGAAATCCACAGTTGTCAAAGCTATTTCTGGAGTTCACACCGTCAGGTTCAAAAATGAACTAGAAAGAAATATTACAATCAAGCTTGGATATGCTAATGCTAAGGTAAGTTGTGTACTGTGGAACAAGAAACTAACTTTAATTGTTGTGCAGATAATAAATCAAAATCTTTTTTTATTGAAATTTTAGATTTATAAACTTGATGACCCAAGTTGCCCTCGGCCAGAATGTTATAGATCTTGTGGGAGCAGTACACCTGATGAGTTTCCTACAGACATTGCAGGGACCAAAGGGAACTTCAAATTAGTCAGGTGACCTCTTTTTTGCTAAGCATACTACACTTTATATTTTATTGTGTTCTGTTTTGTACTTTTTGAAATATTGAGATGTTAAACAATGAACCTAATTGCTAAATGGTTTTGTTGTTTTTCCATTGTTTTATGTTTTTATGGCAAATCTGAAAAGTCAAGCATCTAAACCTGAGTTAAAATACTTACCTGCAATTTCTCCAAACTAAAAGTATCACTGAAACAAAATAGAAAAACAACTCATTGGATTGAAGGGATTCTTTTTCTAGGCTTCCTGAATTTCTTTTAAACAGTGCTGTTTTTGTATATTAAATAGAGATGAACAGAGCCATTTCTAATTCTCTAAAACACTTGAACTTGTTCGCCATCTATTTTCTGAATATGATTGCATACCTGGTTTTTTATCAGGATACTGACATCTGTCTAGTGATGTTTATGGGGATTGGAGATGCCCTACAAGGAATGTTTAGATTGGGGCAGGGCTGGGACCAGGGAGAGACAAGTGAGGCCTTCACCTCAAGCCCAAAATTTAAGTGGGCCTGGGGGTGGAGGTATGCCAGAAAACTCAGTAATTAGGATAAATATTTTAATGCAGTTTTTTTTGGAATTAATGCAAAAAATATGATAAACAATATCAGAATTTTAAATAAAGGCAGACTCAATATTACTGAATTTGTTTCCTCTCTTGCTTCAGTATCACTTTGTGGCTCAGCATGGCTTTGTATTTTGTTTATGATTGATTTTTTGCATTAATTTTGACTTTTTAAAAATATTGAATGCATATATTTTTCTTTCTTATTCTTTTCTTTCTTCTTTTTTTTTTTGAGACAGTCTCTCTCTGTTGCCCAGGTTGGAGTGCAGTGGTGCGATCTCGGCTCACTGCAGCCTCCACTTTCTGGGTTCAAGCAATTCTCATGCCTCAGCCTCCTGAGTAGCTGGGATTACAGGCATGAGCCACCACGTCCAGCTAGTTTGTATTTTTATTTATTTATTTATTTTTGAGATGGAGTCTTGCTATGTCGCCAGGCTGGAGTGCAGTGGCGTGGTCTCGGCCCACTGCAACTTCTGACTCCCTGGTTCAAGTTATTTTTCTGCCTTAGCCTCCCGAGTAGCTGGGATTATAGGCACGCGCCACCACGCCCAGCTAATTTTTATATTTTTAGTAGAGACGGGGTTTTACCATGTTGGCCAGGATGGTGTTTTTCTCTTGACCTTGTGATCCACTGGCCTTGGCCTCCCAAAGTGCTGGAATTACAGGTGTGAGCCACTGTGCCTAGCCTAGTTTTTAGATTTTTAGTAGAGGCGGGCTTTCACCATATTGTCCAGACTCGTCTCCATCTCCTGGCCTCAAGTGATCTGCCTGCCTCAGCCTCCCAAAGTGCTGGGATTACAGGCATGAGCCTCAATGCCTGGCCATTTTCCTTGATTACTGAGTTTTTTGGCATTCTCTTAAAGTTCGCGCTTGTCTCACTGTAGTCCTGGTCCTTAGTAGGGGATTAGCAAACTTTTTTCCACAAAGGGCCAGATGGTAAATATTTTCAGCTTTGCAAGCCAGAGTTTCTGTTGCTTCTGTTCTTCTATTACAGAAGCAGATGTAGGCAATATATGTATAAATAGATATGGTGGTGGGCTAAATTTGGCCTAAGAGCTGACCTCTGTTTTAGATCATGACAATGGGAGCATACGATGAAAAAAAAAATTGTGACTCTGAATGAATACCATAGTTTTGTTTTAAAAAGGGCTGCCATCTCTGTTTCAAATGGGCAATTCTAGCTTTTCAAGGTGCTACAGGTATTTTTGGAAAAATTTTTTTTTTTTTTTTCTTAGTAGAGGCCAGGTTTCACTAGTTGGTCAGGCTGGTCTCAAACTCCTGACCTCGGGTGATCCACCTGCCTCAGCCTCCCAAAGTGCTGGGATCAGTCATTATAAGTTTTAGCTTTCAAATCAATGACATTCTCAGTATATACTCTACACCATTATTCTATACCATTTTCACTCTCGTTGGATTTGGGAGTTTCTTTATCTTCCGTTCTGCACATAACTAATTTAATTTGCTTTGTAATCTGCAGTGGTTTTAATCAGCTGGTGAACTTATTTCCAAGTTCTAGAAACACCAAGCCCTGTAACCATTTTATACCAATAAGATTATTTCCTAAGTTGATTTAACTTTAGAAAAATCTGTAACTAGCATGCTTAAGTAGTGATTGATGTTAAGGCTGATTGTTATTTCTCAATTGTTAGACATGTTTCCTTTGTTGACTGTCCTGGCCATGATATTTTGATGGCTACTATGCTGAATGGTGCAGCAGTGATGGATGCAGCTCTTCTGTTGATAGGTAAATACCTCACAATTGGTTTGGACAAATCAGTGTGGAGCAAATCCAAGATGAAGTATTTAAAGCGGAACTAAGGCCTTTAAGGATCATATCTGTTACCTAAGGGTGACATGAATGGGAACTAACCTGTCATCCAGGATGACTTTCCTACCTACCAGCTATCACAAAATACTGAAAAAGATAGATTTGGGGCTGATAGCTTGTGAGAATTCTTGTGGTAGCATTTGAGAAAATGAAAAAAAGTCAGTAGTTCATTTTTCTCATTTAAATCACATGAGGTGATTTAGTTTTAAATGTATGTGTAAAACTTTGTGTTATGGTTTGTGTGTGTGTGTGTATGTCTGAACTGTCTACTGTGGAAGTATTTAAGATACAAATACCATTCATAATAAGTGCTGAAGTCTAGGAATAAGTGGAGTTTTGAAGGGTAGCATATGTATTGTTTCTTACGTTAGCTGTTGAGAGATTTCATTACTATGGGATAAAATTTTTTTATTTTTATTTATTTTATTTTATTTTTTTGAGACGGAGTCTGGCTCTGTCTCGCCCAGGCTGGAGTGCAGTGGCGCCATCTCCGCTCGCTGCAGGCACTGCCTCCAGGGTTCACGCCATTCTCCTGCCTCAGCCTCCCGAGTAGCTGGGACTACAGGCGCCCGCCACCACGCCTGGCTAATTTTTTGTATTTTTAGTAGGGACAGGGTTTCACCATGTTAGCCAAGATGGTCTGGATCTCCTGACCTCGTGATCCGCCCGCCTCGGCCTCCCAAAGTGCTGGGATTACAGTCGTGAGCCACCGCGCCAAGCCTGGGGTAAAATGTTTTAAAAGCACTGGATGTGGTGGCTCACGCCTGTAATCCCAGCACTTTGGGAGGCTGAGGCGGGCGGATCACGAGGTCAGGAGATCGAAACCATCCTGGCTAACATGGTGAAACCCCATCTCTACTAAAAATACAAAAAATTAACCAGGCATGGTGGCAGGTGCCTGTAATCCCAGCTACTCGGGAGGCTGAGGCAGGAGAATGGCGTGAATCTGGGAGGCGGAGCTTGCAGCGAGCTGAGATCGCGCCACTGCACTCCAGCCTGGGTGACAGAGTAAGACTCCGTCTCAAAAAACAAAAAAAAACAAAAAACATGAACCGGGTGTGGTGGCACATGTCTGTAATCCCAGCCACTCAGGAGAATCTCTTGAACCCGGGAGGCAGAGGTTGCGGTGAGCCAGGATCACGCCATTGCACTCTAGTCTGGGCAACAAGAGCGAAAACTACATCTCAAAAAAAAAGCGACTGGGCATGGTGGCTCATGCCTGTAATCCCAGCACTTTGGGAGGCTGAGGCAGATGGATCACTTGAAGTCAGGAGTTCAAGACCAGCCTGGCCAATAGGATGAAACCCTGTCTCTACTAAAAGTACAAAAAATCAGCCAGGCATGGTGGTGCATGCCTATAATCCCAGCTACTTGGGAGGCGAAGGCACAAGAGTCACTTGAACCCAGGAGGCAGAGGTTGCAGTGAGCCGAGATCGAGCCATTGCACTCCAGCCTGGGTGACAGAAGGAGACTTGGTCTTGAAAAAAAAAAAAAAAAACCACCCGGGCGTGGTGGCTTACACCTGTAATCCCTGTACTTTGGGAGGCCAAGGCAGGTGGATCACTTGAGGTATCAGGAGTTTGAGACCAGTCTGGTCAACATGGTGAAACCCCGCCTCTATTAAAAGTACGAAAATTAGCCGGGCGTGGTGGGGCACACCTGTAATCACAGCTACTCAGGAGTCTGAGGCAGGAGAATCGCTTGAACCCGGGAGGCAGGATGCAGTGAGCTGAGGTGACGCCACTGCACTCCAGCCTGGGTGACAGAGACAGAGTGAGACTCAGTCTCAAAAAAAAGAAAAAAAAAATTTTTTTTTTTAAAGCATGCCATGTCGGTATAGTCAGGACACTTGAACATCACGACTTGAGGAGATTGATCATTGGAGTCCTCAACAAAACATGCCCATTTCTTTATAATACACTGTGGGTTATCTTCGCAGTTAGCATTCTTCCCTCCCTTGGTTGAAGAATAGCCTCTGATATTAGTTAAAATTCATGGAGAGTATTAGGTGCCTTTCCCTTTTAATTAGTGTCTACTTCTCAGGAACTTGACTGGGCCAGAACATTTCTAAGACTGGAGAGAGTTAGAGGGCTATACCCCATACCTGAGCAAAAACTGGGTACAGACCCTGAGAAAAGCCAGACTTACTGATTTTAAGCTTCTTGCTCAGGACCAGGTTTGGGAGCCAGACAATTGGGAGGTTCCAGTGAACGCAGGCAACAGACAGTGAAGCAGGGCCAAACGGTGGATATCTGGCAATAATATCTAGGAATGTTGCCTTCATTAGGGTTAGAACATTGAGAAGTCTCCTTTATTAGATGCCAACTTCTTTTGGCAGGGGGGGAGTGGGTGGCAAAAGAGACTCAAAATGTACCATTTTATGTATTGAAAGTGTACAATTTAGTGGCATTAAGTACATTGACAATTTTGTACAACATAGTGTTTGTAGTTTCACCACTATCTAGTTCCAGAACTTTTATATCACCACAAAAGGAAGCGCCATGCCCATGAAGCATCCATCGCCATGTTTTCCTCCCCCAGCCCCTAGCAACCAATAATCTGCTTTCTCTCTTTATGGATTTGCCTGCCTGTTCTGGATATTTCCAGCTATTCTTATATGTATCTTTTTTATTCTTCATCAACTAGCTGGTAATGAATCTTGTCCTCAGCCTCAGACGTCTGAACACCTGGCTGCTATAGAGATCATGAAACTGAAGCATATTTTGATTCTACAAAATAAAATTGATTTGGTAAAAGAAAGTCAGGCTAAAGAACAATACGAGCAGATCCTTGCATTTGTCCAAGGTAAGAAGCCATAATATGTAATAAATCTATGAATCACTTTGAGAGGCATTTACTCTGGATACCAGATGTTAAATTAACTTTTAATATATTATCTAAAACAAGGTAAACTTATGAGTCTTAAGGCTTATCGCCCTACCTACTGCTTGTTAGCAACCTGATACAACTAATGAAATCTATGATTCTGAATTTAATATACTAAACTATATTTTTGCTGGCAGCAAGTTAGAACTGGGGTTGTTTTCTGGAAACTTTATCGATCAGATTAAAAAAAAATCTCAGTGATAGTAAAATGAATAAAATAATTTTTAAAAACCTCATCTTACAGTATTTGTTACTGAACAGCTACTTTAAGATTTGGAAGTGACAGTGATTATTTAATCTCTAGAGTGTTGGCCGGGCACGGTGGCTCATGCCTGTAATCCCAGCACTTTGGGAGGCCGAGGCATGTGGATCATCTGAGGTCCGGGGTTCAAAACCAGCCTGACCAATGTGGAGAAACCCTGTCTCTACTAAAAATACAAAATTAGCAGGGTGTGGTGGCACATGCCTGTAATCCCAGCTACTTGGGAGGCTGAGGCAAGAGAATCGCTTGAACTCAGGGGGCGGAGGTTGCGGTGAGCCGAGATCCTGCCATTGCACTCCAGCCTGGGCAACAAGACTGAAACTCCGCCTAAAAAATAATAATAATAATAAATAAATAAGTAAATAAATCTCTTGAGTGTCCCTTCTCTAATAGCATAATGTTTTTCATTTCAGAGGAGACATGATGTATCTTATTCTTGACATTTTCTCTCTTAGTCTTGTTTTTCTTGTTAGGTTAATTTCTTATGAACTCAGTTCTGTCATCATGAAAAGTAGTAAGTGATTTTGATTAAAGTCTAATTGTGTTTGGTCTATTTCTTTGACTAGCTTGTTTGACATATAATTAATACAGAGCAAATATATATGGTTGGGCTTGGTAGCTCACACTTGTAATACTAAGACTTTAGGAGGCCGAGGCGGGTGGAACGCTTGAGTCCAGGAGTTGAAGACCAACCTGGGCCACATGGTAAAACTCCGTCAATCCAAAAATTTATCTGGGCTTGGTGGCACACACCTGTGGTCCCAGCTACTATATAGGAGGCTGAGGTGGGAGGATCGCTTGAACCTGGGAAGTGGAGGTTGCAACAAGCCGTGATTGTGCCACTGCAGTCTAGCCTGGGCGACAGAGCAAGACCCTGTCTCAAAAAAAAAAAAAAAAAAAATTAAAATTATATGTGCCAGCAGTCTTTGATTAGCAGAGTCTGTAATTTTATCTTGACATTTATTGGGAGATTAATTACATGTTGTTAGAAATCTTTTCAACTAGTAGAGTGTTCTTTCACAGGAGTGTTAGTATGTTCTTTATTTAAACAAGTTTATCGTTGTACTAATATTAAGTATGTTGACTAATATAAAGTAACAAATTTTCCCTTAAAGGGATTAGTATTCATTTTCAGGAGTGAAAACAGAATATTGCCATCTTTCTGAACAGAATTATCCACTTTCCACTTGTTGCTGACATTTGTATGGGGTTTAGGCATCTATTTTATTATAGTAATCTTAATCGTTTTATGTAACAGATACATAGAATAAATTTTTAAAAACTGAATAATTTTGATCTTTCTGAATTTTGTCATATAGGTACAGTAGCAGAGGGAGCTCCCATTATTCCAATTTCAGCTCAGCTGAAATACAATATTGAAGTTGTTTGTGAGTACATAGTAAAGAAAATTCCAGTACCCCCAAGAGACTTTACTTCAGAGCCCCGGCTTATTGGTAAGTGATAGGATTTGCCTTTAACTCTTAATCTGATCTTTTCCACATTGGTGATTCCTCTTCAAGGATGTTTATTAATATTTCCTCTTTCTGCAGAGGTGATAATTCATACAATTTTTTTGAAATCAATTCTGAGATTGTATTAGTAGTGCTAGATTGTATTACTGAATGAGGGACAGAGTCCTGAACACAATAAGAGCTGTTAACCTAGGCCGGGCACGGTGGCTCATGCCTATAATCCCAGTACTTTGGGAGGCCAAGGTGGGTGGATCACATGAGGTCAGGAGTTTGAGACCAGCCTGACCAGTATGGTGAAACCCTGTCTCTACTAACATACAAAAAAGTAACTGGGCATGGTGGCAGGCGCCAGTGATCCCAGCTACTCAGGAGGCTGAGGCAGGACAATCGCTTGAACCCAGGAAGCAGAGGTTGCAATGAGCTGAGATCGTGCCACTGCACTCCAGCCTGGGCAACAAGAGTGAAACTGCGTCTCAAAAAAAAACCAAAAACAACTGTTAACCTTTCTGTGCTCAGTATATGGTACATGATCAAGATGGAGTAATACAGTATTCTCTATGGAATCATAATGTTTTAGTCAGGGTGTTCGAACTTCCTGACTAAAACATCATACAGATGATTTTGTTGTTCAATTAACGAAGAACTGATACTGATATAATTTGATCACCTAGGCTTGTGGTTCCTACACAAGGATGTAGAAACCTTCTCGAAACAGACATTTGAGCTCCTCTGGGCCTTCATCCAGGCTCCTGGTGTTTAGTAGGAAATACTTTCCGAAGTGCAGGTCATGTAGTCCTAGTATTTTGTAGTTATAAAGCTGAATTGTTCTTACAGGAGTTACAGAGGTATGTAAAGAAAATGTCCATAATCTCTCTGTCTTCAAGTTCTAGTCCGTTAGCCCTAAAGTCAGCAAAGTTAACATTTGCTGTCCATTATTCCCACACTTTCCTCATTGTTCATATCATCATGTATAAACATATACACAGGCTAGGCATGGTGGCTTTCACCTGTAATCCCAGCACTTTGGGAGGCTGAGGCTGAGGTGGGAGGATTGCTTGCGGCTAGGAGTTTGGGACCATCCTGGGCATCAAAGGAAGACCCCGTTTCTACAAAATAAAATATAGCTGGGTGCAGTGGTGTGTACCTGTAGTCCCAACTACTTGGTAGGCTGAGGCAGGAAGATCGCTTGAGCCCACGAATTTGAGGCTATAGTGAGCTATGATTGTGCCACTGCACTCCAGCCTCTATGATAGAGGGAAAAAGAAATCCATATACAGACATTGATTAGTTTATTTTTTTTATGGAAGTGGGATTATATTATACATATAATTTTTATCATTTTTCTTAACAGTATATGAGGGTCATCCTTCCAGATCATTACATACAGCTCCAACATTATTAATAGTTGCATGATGCTCTATAATACTGGTATACCATATATGCCACTTGTTAACAAACAAGTTATTTTCATTTTTCCCATCATAAGTAAGATTGCATAAGCATTGGGATAATACTAGATTTTGTTACAAAGGCCCCCCTTTGGTATAAATCTCAAATGGTCACTATTTTCGAAATGTTAACATGGAAAATATTATTTCTTCTAAAGTTAAAATGAACAGAACTGACTTTAATTTGTTTTATTTTATTTTAGTTATTAGATCTTTTGATGTCAACAAACCTGGCTGTGAAGTTGATGACCTTAAGGGAGGTGTAGCTGGTGGTAGTATCCTAAAAGGAGTATTAAAGGTAAAATGGGTTTTGGTTGTTGTGATTTTGGTTTTTTTTGTTGTTGTTGTTGTTTGTTTGTTTTACCCTTGTCTTAATCAGGAAAAAAAGTATGGACAATCCAAATTGAAAAATAAAATTTTTTCCATGGTTTCTGGCATTTGATAAAGAGTTCTCTTTTTTAATATTCTTCTTTTCCATCTTCAAACTTGACTCCCCCCACCCTTCTAGACCTCTGAATCCACTCTACCTTCATGAGATCCACCTTTTTAGCTCCCACATATACAGATGAGTGAGAATGTGTGATGTTTGTCTTTTTGTGCCTGGCTTATTTTACTTAAAATGGCCTCCAATTCTAGATATGTTGCTGCAAATGGCAGAATTTCTTTATTTTTTATGGCTGCATAATACTCCGTTGTATATATATGCTGCCTTTTCTTTTTTTCTTTCTTTCTTTCTTTCGTTTTTTTTTTTTTTTTTTTTTTGAAGCGGAGTCTTGCTCTGTCGCCCAAGCTGTAGCGATCTCGGCGCACTGCAACCTTCACCTCCCGGGTTCAAGCAATTCTCACTGCCCCAGCCTCCCAAGTAGCTGGGATTACAGGCACCTGCCACCAAGCCCAGCTAATTTTTGTATTTGTAGTAAAGATGGGGTTTCACCATGTTGACCAGGCTGGTCTTGAACTCCTGACCTCAGGTAATCCACCCACCTTGGCCTCCCGAAGTGCTGGGATTACAGGCGTGAGCCACTGCGCCTGGCCTATATACTGCATTTTCTTTATCCATTCATCTGTTCATGGGCACTTAGGTTGATTCCATATTTGGCTATTGTGAACTGTGCTGCAATAAACATGGGAGTGCAGATACCTCTTTGATACATTGCTTCCCTTTCTGTTGAATGTATACCCACTAGTGAAATTGATGGATCATATGGTAGCTCTATTTTCATATTTTCAGGTTTTCAAGGAACCTCCATATTGTTCTCCATGGTAGCTGTACTAATTTACATGCCCTGATAATAGTTTTTTTTTTTTTTTTTTGAGTGCATTGGCATGATCTCAGCTCACTGCAACCTCCACCTCCTGGGTGCAGGTGATGATTCTCCTGCCACAGCCTCCCAACTTGCTGGGACTACAGGCACTCGCAACCTCGCCCGGCTAATTTTTTTTTTTTTTTTGAGACGGACTCTCGCTCTATCGCCCAGGCTGGAGTGCAGTGGCGCGATCTCGGCTCTCTGCCTCCCGGGTTCATGCCATTCTCCTGCCTCAGCCTCCCAAGTAGCTGGGACTACAGGTGCCCGCCACCACGCCTGGCTAATTTTTTTGTATTTTTTTTTTTTAATAGAGACAGAGTTTCACCGTATTAGCCAGGATGGTCTCGATCTCCTGACCTCGTGATCCACCCGCCTCAGCCTCCCAAAGTGCTGGGATTACAGGCGTGAGCCACCGCGCCCAGCCTAATTTTTTTTGATAGAGACGGGGTTTCGCTATATTGGCCATGCTGGTCTCTCGACTCCTGACCTGCCTGCCTCAGCCTCCCAAAGTGCTGGGATTACAGGCATGAGCTACCATGCCCAGCTATATTTCTTTGTTTTCCATTATGTCTTTTGTGTCTGACTTCAAAATTTATAGACTTGTAAGTATGGAGCACATTTGATGTGGTAATAGACTTGTGTGGTGGGTAGTTAGCAACAGTTGGATTGTTCTGGTTTTGACAGTCTCGTTCACATCTTTTTTTTTTTTTTTTTTTTAAAGAATAATTATCTTTGAAATATAGGAATGATTGCCTTTTCAGTTTTATGATCTTCCTGTTGGAACTTTATTATTATTTTATTTTATTTTTGAGACGGAGTCTCTCTCTGTCGCCCAGGCTAGAGTGCAGTGGTGCGATCTCGGTTCACTGCAACCTCTGTCTCCCAGGTTCTAGCAATTCTGCTGCAGCCTCCTGAGTAGCAGGGATTACAGGCGCGTGCCACTACACCTGGCTAATTTTTGTATTTAGTAGAGACGGAGTTTCACTGTGTTGGCTGGGCTGCTCTCGAACTCCTGACCTCAGGTGATCCACCCGCCTCGGCCTCCTAAAATGCTGGCATAACACACGTGAGCTACCGCACCCAGTCCCTGTTGGAACTTTTGATAGGTAAATGATCATTTTGTGTAACACAGTAATTCTAATTATTAATTATATGTTTACAGGTGGGCCAGGAGATAGAAGTAAGACCTGGTATTGTTTCCAAAGATAGTGAAGGAAAACTCATGTGTAAACCAATCTTTTCCAAAATTGTATCACTTTTTGCAGAGCATAATGATCTGCAATATGCTGCTCCAGGCGGTCTTATTGGTAAGGATTTTTTCTCATCTCTTTTAATTTGTGGCTATTTGTGGACTTTTCATGGGGGATGGATTACCAAAAGGGACATATTATAGATTTTTAATTGGGTATTTTAATAATAGAGTGGGGCGGGGGAACAATCATGTGGTTAAGCTCTTGTTTTAGGTTATAAGATGGTTTCATGCATTTGTAAAAATGATTTTTAAACACAAAGGATACATTTTGGTCAAGTATAGAGTAACTCCTTTTTAGCAATATAAAAAAGTTTGATGACTTACCATGTAAGGTATTTACGTACACTTATGTTTTTGTTAACACAATTTTTGTGGTAGATAATGGTTGCCTTTTTTTTTTTTTGGAGATGGAGTCTCGCTGTGTCCTCCAGGCTGGAGTGCAGTGGCGCAATCTTGGCTCACTGCAACCTTCACCTCCCAGGTTCAAGCAATTCTTCTGCTTCAGCCTCCCGAGTAGCTGGGACTACAGGCACATGCTGCCAGGCCCAGCTAAGATTTTTGTATTTTAGTAGAGACAGGGTTTCATCGTGTTGCCCAGGCTGGTCTCGAACTCCTGAGCTCAGGCAGTCCCCCGCCTTGGCCTTTCAAAGTGCTAGGATTACAGGCATGAACCACCGTGCCCGGCCATGGTTGCTTTTGTGTGTATTTTGCAAATGGGAAATTACCTACAAATGTCAGTTGAATGATGTCAGATCGTATTTCCAATGATGTAGAAATAAAAGAAAATAAATTTCTTTGTGTAGCAATTACTGAAATGATTTAAAAACTTTTCTAGTCTCTTACAACTTACTGTATTACTCAATACCCAGAAAAATGAAAGATTCAGTGAGAATTAGAGGGGGTGTATGTACCTTTAGATCAAAGAAGAAAATGTTTGGTAAGGACACAGTTTATTCTTCACCAAACAAGCTGTGTGTCTGGTTGAAAATTTTAAAAGGGAAATAAAAGAAAACAGAAAAACGAAAAAGAGTTTACCAGATTGGCTGGGCTCAGTGGCTCACGCCTGTGATCCCAGCAATTTGGGAGGCTGAGGTGGATGGATCGCTTGAGCTCAGGAGTTTGAGACCAGCCTGGGCAGCATGGTAAAACCCTGTCTCTACTAAAAATACAAAAGTTAGCTGGGTGTGGTGGCCCACGCCTGTAATCCCAGGTACTTGGGAGGCTGAGGCACAAGAATCGCTTGAACCCAGGAGGCGGAGGGTGAGCCGAGATCACACCAGTGCACTCTAGCCTGGGTGACAGAGTGACACTCTGTCTCAAAAAAAAAAAAAGAAAAACAAGAAGAAAAGAAAAAAAGAGTTTACCAGGTTGGGCATGGTGGCTCATGCTTATAATCCCAGTGCTTTGGGAAGCCGAGGTGGGAAGATTGCTTGAGACCAGGAGTTTGAGACCAGCCTAGGAAACCGTGAGATGCCGTTTCTCCAATCAAATAGTAAAATAAACTTGGTTTGGTGCCTGTAGTTCCATCTCTCATTTTATCCTTTGTGTGCATGTGTGTGGTAAACAAGGGAGATCTGGTAACTTTTTTTTTTTTTTTTTTTTTTTGAGACGGAGTCTCGCTCTGCCGCCCAGGCTGGAGTGCAGTGGCCGGATCTCAGCTCACTGCAAGCTCCGCCTCCCGGGTTCACGCCATTCTCCTGCCTCAGCCTCCTGAGTAGCTGGGACTACAGGCGCCCGCTACCACGCCCGGCTAGTTTTTTGTATTTTTTTAGTAGAGACGGGGTTTCACCGTGTTAGCCAGGATGGTCTCGATCTCCTGACCTCATGATCCGCCCGTCTCGGCCTCCCAAAGTGCTGGGATTATAGGCTTGAGCCACCGCGCCCGGCCGATCTGGTAACTTTTTAAAAATTTAACTTAAGGAACTTTTTATTTATTTATTTATTTATTTTGAGGCAGAGTCTTATTCTGCCACCCAGGCTGGAGTGCAGTGGTATGATCTCAGCTCGCTGCAACCTCTGCCTCCTGGGTTCAGTTAATTCTCGTACCTCAGCCTCCCGAGTAACTGGAACTACAGGCACATACCACCACAGCCAGCTAATTTTTGTATTTTTAGTAGAGATGGGGTTTCGCCATGTTGGCCAGGCTGGTCTCGAACTTCTGTTCTTAAGTAATCCACCCTCCTTGGCCTCCCAAAATACTGGGATTACAGGCGTGAGCCACCGCACTTGGCCTATACTGTAATGATAACCCCCATAGAGCCATCGCTCAGCTTCAGCAATTATTAATGTTTTACCAATCTTGGCCGGGTGCGGTGGCTCATGCCTGTATTACCAGCGCTTCGGGAGGCCGAGGTGGACGGGTCACCTGAGGTCAGGAGTTCGAGAAACCTGTCTCTACTAAAAATACAAAAAAAAAAAAATTAGCCATGGCAGCACATATCCGTAATCCCAGGTCGCAGTGAGCCGAGATCATACCACTGCACTCCAGCCTGGGCGACAGAGAGAGATTGTCTCAACAACAGCAGCAAAAAAAAGTTTTCCAAATCAATCTTGTTCCATCTATGTATCTTCTTTCCCCTACTCCCCTCAAGACACAGCTAGAATATTTTGAAGTAGATCCCAGGAATCATATGTAGTCTTTTTTTTTTTTTTTTGAGTTCAAGCGATTCTCCTGCCTTAGCCTCCTGAGTAGCTGGGACTACAGGCGCACGCCACCACACCTGGCTAATTTTTTATATTTTAATAGAGACGGGGTTTCACTGTGTTGCCCAGGCTGGTCTTGAACTCCTGAGCTCAGGCATCCACCCGCCTCAGCCTACCAAAGTGCTGGGATTACAGGTGTGAGCCACTGCACCTGGCCGACTAATTCACTTTATAGGTGTTTTAGGAAATAAAAAATTGAGCTGTATACATCTTATTTTTATATTAGGAGTTGGAACAAAAATTGACCCCACTTTGTGCCGGGCTGACAGAATGGTGGGACAAGTACTTGGTGCAGTCGGAGCTTTACCTGAGATATTCACAGAATTGGAAATTTCCTATTTCCTGCTTAGACGGCTTCTAGGTGTACGCACTGAAGGAGACAAGAAAGCAGCAAAGGTAAATGCTTTTTATAATTCCTGTTTGTAAAAAAGTGACAAATGGGAGTGTTAAACCAGTGTTGAGTTTTATTGTTTTGTAGTTAACATGAAATTAAGAAAAAAAGAAAAGGTAAATAAATTTGACCTCCCCAAAATTGAGGTTTTTTTTTTTTTTTTTTTTTTTTTTTAGTTTTTTTTTTTTTTTTTTTTTTTTTTTTAAGGAGTTGGAGTCTTGCTCTGTTGCCCAGGCTGGAGTGCAGTGGCGCGATCTCAGCTCATGGCAACCTCCGCCTCCTGGGTTCAAGCGATTCACCTGCCTCGGTTTCCCAAGTATATGGGACTATAGGCATGCACCAGCACGCCCAACTAATTTTTGTATTTTTTAGTAGTGATGGGGTTTCACTATATGTTAGCCAGGCTGGTCTTGACCTCCTGACCTCAAGTGATAACGCCCGCATCGGCCTTCCAAAGTGCTGGGATTACAGGCATGCGCCACTGCATCCGGCCAAAATTGAGAACTATATGGCAGTCAGTTTAAGAAAGAAACTTAAAAAACAGGGAAAAGTATTTGCCATTTATGACAAAGACTTGATATTCCTAAAATCGATGTGATTTTTTTGTTGTTTATTTTGAGAGTCTTGCTCTGTTGCCCAGGCTGGAGTGCAGTGGTGCGATCTTGACTCACAGCAGCCTCGATCTCCCAGCTCAAGCCATCCTCCCACCTTAACCTCCTGAGTAGGTGGGACTACAGGTGCGGGCCACCACGTCTGGCTAATTTTGTATTTTTTGTAGAGACGGAGTTTTGCCGTGTTACCCAGGCTGATCTCCCAACTCCTGGGCTTAAGCAATCTGCCCACCCCAGCCTTCCAAAGTGCTGGGATTACAGGTGTGATCCACTGTGCCCAGCTTCATGATTATTAAAAAATGTCCCAGATTAGGTTGGCAGAGATGGGAAATTGCTGACACCTAGTGTTGGCAAAGATTTAGGAAAATAAGCAATCATACCTCTCCCCTCCTCCCAAGTGATCTGCTCTCCTCAGCCTCCCAACCAAAGTGCTGGGATTACAGGCGTGTGCCACTGCGCCTGGCCCATGTTAACTCTTATATAGCCATAGTCCTCCCCATTCCCCACTTTGGGAAATTTTGTACCTCATTTGTACTAGGTAACTGCTTCAGAATTTTAAGAGGTTCTTTGGTATGGTTCCTACCTTATTTTGTACAGGTGGATCTTGTGTAAGTTCAGTGGGTGCCAAATAAACCTTCCTTTTGCTGTCTTTAGACTGTATATAGTTCAAATTCCTTTACAATAAAATTTATATAGAATTTTTTTTCTTTTATGATTGACGTATTTCCCATAGTATTTGGTAAATTCTTACTTATATTTGGAAAGCATTTTCTTGATTTTGGGATTTATTTTTCCCTAATTTATTTTTCTAGGTTCAAAAGCTGTCTAAGAATGAAGTGCTCATGGTGAACATAGGATCCCTGTCGACAGGAGGGAGAGTTAGTGCTGTCAAGGCCGATTTGGGTAAAATTGTTTTGACCAATCCAGTGTGCACAGAGGTAGGAGAAAAAATTGCCCTTAGCCGAAGAGTTGAAAAACACTGGCGGTAAGTTTGTTAGTCTTTGCCGCTGTCTAATTAAAAAAAGACACAGTCTTGTTGTACAGAAAAAAAAAGCACATTCTTCCTTGAGGACAACAGTTACTGTTGCTTTCAGTCTCAACTATTTATTTGGATGACTCTGAAAACTATACTTCGGCCGGGTGCGGTGGCTCACGCCTGTAATCCCAGCACTTTGGGAGGCCAAGGCGGGCGGATCATGAGGTCAGGAGATCCAGACCATCCTGGCTAACACGGTGAAACCCTGTCTCTACTAAAAAATACAAAAAATTAGCCGGGCGTGGTGGCGGGCGCCTGTAGTCCCAGCTACTCGGGAGGCTGAGGCAGGAGAATGGCGTGAACCTGGGAGGCGGAGCTTGCAGTGAGGTGAGCCGAGGTGGCGCCACTGCACTCCAGCCTGGGCGACAGAGCGAGACTCCGTCTCAGAAAAAACTACAACTTTGACTGTAGTCCCATATTTTAGTCCAAATGCTGTGATTGGCTTCTCTGCCTGTTAGACACAACCTATGCAAAACCGAATGAATTTGGGTTCAGTATTTCTATTGTCATTGACTTTGGAAATCATTTCACACTTAATAGAAAAATTGCAAGAATTTTACAGAAAACTCCTCTATAGCCTTTTCCTAGATTGACAAATACACATACAGATTTATTTACAAATGTAAGTTTTTTCCTGAACCATTTGAGGGTAGGTTATATATATTATGCTTCTTGATCTCTTAATACTTCAGTGTATATTTCCCATCAAAAAAGGATACTCTTATATAAGCACTTAGAAATTTAACATTGGCAAAATACTGAAATCTACAGTGCATGTTTCAGTTTTATTACTTATCCCAATAACGTACTTTATGTTCCTCCTGTTTAAAATCATGCATTGCATTTAATTTTATGTCTCTTTGATATTTAATCTGGAGCTTTTTCAGCCTTTGTCTTAATTGACATTAACAGTTCTGAAGAATACAAGCTAGTTACTTTATAGAATATTCCTCAATTTGGGTTTTTCTTATGGTTCGGAAGTGTAACATTAGATTCAGGTTCTTAAGTTAAATACACTGTGAAGTCTCCTTCTCAGGAATCACAGCTAGAGGCACATGATATCTGACTGCTCCTCTTTATTAAGGTTAGTTTTGACTATGTAGTCAAGATGTTGTCCAGCCTCTCTACTGTGTAGTTACTCTCTACCCTTGCAACTAGTAAGCAATCTGTAGGGAGATCTTTTCAGCCGATACGAATAGCCTGCTGCTTATCGAATCCCACACCCCTGGATGTAGCATCCACTGATGATTCTTGCCTGAATCGAACTTGACTATAATGATTACAAAATCATAGCACCTCTACAGGTCACAGTATCCTCCCTCAACTCTACCACCCCACATTTATCATTTGGCATTCTTTCTTTGCCGTTATTTATTTCCCTATCTAGTTATAATATGGACTCATGGAGTCCCATGTTATCCAACATGTTATGATCCATCACTGTCTTCCTTTATTTTCATGTGCATTTTTCAACGTTTGGCCAGTGGAGGTCCTTCAGGCTGGCTCTTGTGTCCTTTTGACATGTATTCATCATTTTTTTTTCTTTTTTTTTTTTTTTTTTGAGACGGAGTCTCGCTCTGTCGCCAGGCTGGAGTGCAGTGGCGTGATCTCAGCTCACTGCAGCCTCTGCCTTCCAGGTTCAAGCGATTCTCCTGCCTCAGCCTCCCAAGTAGCTGGGACTACAGGCACGTGCCACCGTGCCCAGTTAATTTTTGTATTTTCAGTAGAGATGGGGTTTCACCACATTGGCCAGCCTGGTCTCGAACCCCTGACCTCAGGTGATCCGCCTTCCTTGGCCTCCCAAAGTGCTGGGATTACAGGCGTGAGCCACCATGCCCAACCTCTTCTTTTTTTGGAACATTTCCTTATTTTCTGGCACAGTATCTTCCAGACTCGTCTTGTACCTTCTCTGTTCCAGTTTTAGAACTGGCCATTTCTCTTAGAAATGAAAAGCTGAGTGTTCAGGTGTGCTCATTGCTCCTAGGGTGCTATTGCTTCTAGGTCTTTTGAGAGCATAGACCCAGGAAGCATACACACATTTTTGGCTCCTGACTTTTTGCTCTTTCCAGGTTAGTTATTGAATTTGCCCCTTGCTTTACATTCCTTGTCACATCATCACAGTCCATACCACCATCACTTTACACTTCACAGTTAGTGTGAAAGACCCCTAGTTTGCCTCTTTATTACTTAAGAGCTTGGTCAAAATTAGTCTTCTTAAAACATTTTCATCATGCTGTGTTTAATAATTTCTAGAGACTTCTCACTACTTTTTGATATTTGGGACTTTCCTAGAAACCTGCTTCAACCCATTTAACCTTTCCTTCTGCATTGTCTTATATAAACCCTCTAAATTAGACTATTTTGTGCCCTGACTGTCCCCATAATTATTCAGATCACGCCTGCCCACTATCTACTTCCTTAATTATTTATTTTATATTTTTTAGAGGCAGGGTCTCTCTGTTGACCAGGCTGGAGTTTAGTGGCTTGATCATAGCTCACTGCAGCCTCAGTGTCTAAGTAGCTAGGACTATAGGCTCACACCACCATGACCAGCTGATTTTTTTGTTTTTTGTAGACACTTCTCACTGTCTCATGTAGACACGTCTCACTGTGTTGCCCAGCATGATCTCAAACTCCTGGCCTCAAGCCATCCTCCCACCTCAGCCTCTTAAAGTGTTGGGATTATAGACATGAGCTACCCCGCCCAGCCCTGTTTCCTTTGTTAAGGCTTCCATGCTACTGTGCCCATGATGGTCTCATCACTTGTCCAGGAGATTTATCTGAATTATTGCCCTGTAATTTAGAAAGTTAAATTTTTGTTGTCTCTTAAGTAAATAATTATTTGTGGTGGTTTATGCCCTTTTGATTTTACTCTCTTTTGTGATTATATATTTTTTTGCTATTGCAGACATACGACTTCCAGTGTATTTTAAAATAGATTTAAACAATAAACTTTCAGGCCGGGCACGATGACTCATGCCTGTAAGCCCAGCACTTTGTGAGGCTGAGGTGGGCGGATCACTTGAGGCCAGGAGTTTGAGACTAGCCTGGCCAACATAGTGAAACCCCATCTCTACTAAAAATACCAAAAAATTAGCCGGGCATGGTGGCGCATGCCTGTAGTCCCAGCTGCTCGGGAGGCTGAGGCACGAGAACTGTTTGAACCCGGGAGCCGGAGGTTGCAGTGAGCCGAAATCGCACCACCGTACTCCAGACTGGGTGACAGAGTGACTGTCTCAAAAAAAACCACAAAAACAAAAAAGCAAGAATAAAAAAGAATCTAAGAATATAATGTAGGCTTTCTTTATGGAGGAGCAGGCTTTGGGAACAAATTTGAATTCAGAAGATAAGCAGGTAAAATTTATCATACGATTGTGTGGTAATGAGAGTGAAATGGATGTAAGATTTATGATTTCTTTTGTTTTCATTTTGCAGTTTAATTGGTTGGGGTCAGATAAGAAGAGGAGTGACAATCAAGCCAACAGTAGATGATGACTGAAGAATACCGGTTAAATAATACATTCGGATGGAGTTGGAAGTTGGAATTTCTCTTAACAACCAAGGGGTTTATTTTCAAAGCAATATTGGGGAATTGATTTCACAGTTCGTTACCTTAGTAGGTAACTGTAAGGTTATTCTCTTTTTTTTTTTTGGTTATGAAAATTTAGGGACTACAGTGAATATAAAAATTGGCATAATATTGGATTGAATCTACATTTTGGCAGAAGTCAAGCGTTCCCACATAATGTCAAAATTATACATCATGCAGTTTTGGTTTTTTTGTTTGTTTTATTTTCTTTTGTTTTTGAGTCTGGCTCTGTCACCCAGGCTGGAGTGCAGTGGCGTGATCCGCAACCTCCACCTCCTGGGTTCAAGCGATTCTCCTGCCTCAGCCTCCCGAGGAGCTGAGATTACAGGTGCGCGCCACCACACCTAGCTAATTTTTGTATTATTAGTAGAGACGGGGTTTCGGCATGTTGGCCAGGCCAGTCTCTCCTGACCTCAGGGTGATCAGCCCACCTCGGCCTCACAAAGTGCTGGGGTTACAGGCGTGAGCCACCTTGCCCAGCCCACATCATACAGTTTGAAATGAAACTTTGCCACAACCAGCCTTTGCTGTAGTACACACATATATCACTGAACCTGCTTGAAATAAAGTTTTTTTTTCTTTTTCATGATTCGTCTTTGAGTACCTCCAGGCTGAAGGACTGTTGTACCAGTAAAAACTTAAAGGCACAAATTCTCCTTAAAGACCTTCTCTCTTTTCTTTGGCCCCATATTTTATGTTGCTTTATCTTTGAAATTTTGCATGAAAAGGAAATGAATGGGTTCGAATGAAATTGTCCTTTAAAGCATGATTACTTGTTCCCATGGACAGATATTTTTCTCCCCTTGCTCTTCCTGGCCTGAAACACAGGAAACCAGAGTCAGAAGTTAATCTCGCCTTTCCTGTGATGCACTTGGAGATTTTTCCTGCAACTTGTTTATGCCTGAAATGCACAATAGCTCTTCCTCCCACTGCTGAAAAATACTGTTATACCAAAATAATTCTAGATGAGTAAACAAAGATATTTTCTAGGCCCTTCATTTTATGGTTTTTGTCTTAACCTGTTAAATTGTGACACAGATTAATATTACTAATTTTTGGGATGTTTCGAAAGGTCAAAGAAGTAAAAGATGTTAGAAAGCAGTGAGTGATCCTTTTGATTTTTAACTTATCTCCCTCATGTTCCTATACTGCGTGTACTTTTTCCTTTTTTTTTTTTTTTTTTTTTGAGACAGAGGCCTCAGCTCTGTCACCTAGGCTAGAGTACAATGGCAAGATCTTTGGTACGTGCAGCCTCTGCCCTCACCTGGTTCAAGTGATTCTCATGCTCAGCCCTCCATGTAGCTGAGATTTAGCAGGCACGTGTCCACCATACGCGGCTAATTTTGGTATTATTTAGTGGAGAAGGGATTTTCACCATGTTGCCAAAGGCTGGTCTTGAACTCCTGACCTCAGGTGATCTGTCCACCTCTGCCTTCCACAATGCTGAGATTACAGGCGTGAGCCACTGTGCCCGGCTTATTTTTCTTTATGTTTTTGCTTCATAAGAGGTTCTGTTGAGCAGTGATTTACAACTCACTGACAATAGAATTGCTGGGGAAGCTTTTTAAAAAAAAAAAAAAAAAAAGGTACCCCACAGAGATTCTGATTTTAATTGTTCTGATTTAATTGGCTTGGAGTAGAATTCAGGTATTGATATCTTTAAAAACTCTCCCCAGTGTTGAGAAACAAATTTAGAGAGTTGAGAAGTAGATATATTAAATTACAGAATCTTACTGAATTTTGGTAGTCTGGTAATACAGTTTGCTTTGCTTTTCTTAAATTTGCATTGAGATGGGATTTGAAGCATATTGTGCTCTTGGGAATGTTGAAGTTGCATTGTAGAAGTTTAGAAACTCTGGCTATGGGTTATCTAAATTGATGTTTTGAGGAAGCATATTAATGTTACAAACTTCGCTGACTTTGAAGGTTGTGTTGTAGCATGAGGAACACAAATAAAACAATTCTAAATCAAACATTAATTTTATATCTAACATGTCCCCATGTGTTTTGAAGGTACCTTCTACCAGAAATTTTGGAATAAGACTTAAAATATAGACTAATTTATTGTAATTAATCTCATGTAAGATTTGAAACCAGAATTCTATTATAATGAATTTCAGACATCCACATGGATTATCAGCAAATTTGTAAAGCACTGTACTGAGTGTAATGGGCATATACAGATAGGAAGAAAATGGACCTTATTTTCATAGAACTTGAAGCCAGCGCAGTGATTCTTATCAAGAGATGTACCTAGTTGAGAATGTGCCTGTAATGTTTCTGATGAAAGTACATTGCGGCCAGGCACGGTGGCTCACACCTATAATCCCAGCACTTTGGGAGGCTGAGGTGGGTGGATCACTAGGTCAGGAGTTCGAGACCAGCCTGGCCAACGTGGCAAAACCCTGTCTCTACTAAAAATACAAAAATTAGCCGGGTGTGGTGGCAGGCGCCTGTAATCCCAGCTGCTCTGGAGGCTGAGGCAGGAGAATCGCTTGAACCTGGGAGGTGGAGGTTGCAGTGAGCCGAGATTGTGCCATTGCACTCCAGCCTGGGCGACAAGAGGAAGACTCTGTCTCGGAAAAAAAAAAAAAAATGTATATATTGCATATGTAAATTCTCTTGGCTCTACTGTCAAGATATTTTCAAAGTCTTTAGTTCTCATCACTTCCACTGCTACCACCTTAGTCAAAGCCATCACTGGCTCTCACCTGAACTAGCCTTCTAATTCCTGCTTCTACACTTGCCCTGCTGCAGTCTGTTCACAACACAATAGCCAGAGTGCCTGTTTTTTAGCGAATACTACATACAACTCTGTGATGGTAAGGTGTAAAAGTTAGCCTTTTTTAGCCTCACAGAAATGGGGGGTATGAAGACAGACTAGCTGTGACATCTTCCAGGTGATTTTGAAGCCGACCTGGAAAGCCATCAGTACTTTCCTCCTCGTATCTAACTTCCAAAGAGGATGCCTGTGTGTGCTTGTTTTTGCAGAGGCAATGTGACTTTTATTCTAATAAGGATATGCAAATAACCACTCATAAAATCCCATTTCTAGAAAAACTTGATAGGGTAATGCTTCCAGTGAAATGGGTGATTTTCTGGAGATATATTTTGAAAATTTTAATTACCTAAAATGAAGCAGATAAAAGATTAATAACCATGAAACAGGTGATTCAGAAAGTACCCCTGCTGGGGCCGGGCACAGTGGCTCACGTCTGTAATCCCAGCACTTTGGGAGGCCGAGGCAGGTGGATTACCTGAGATCAGGAGTTCGAGACCAGACTGGCTAACATGGCGAAACGCCATCTTTACTAAAAATACAAAAATTAGCTGGGCGTGGTGGCATGTGCCTGTAATCCCAGCTACTCAGGAGGCTGAGGCAGGAGAATCACTTGAACCTGGGAAGTGGAGGTTGCAGTGAGCCGAGACCATGCCACTGCACTCCAGCCTGAGTGACAGAGCGAGACTCCATCTCAAAAAAATAATAAAAGAAATTACCTCTGCTGGCCGGGATGGAGGCTCACGCCTGTAATCCCAGAACTTTGGGAGGCCAAAGTGGGTGGATCACTTGAGATCAGGAGTTTGAGACCAGCCTGGCCAATATGGTGAAACCTCGTCTCTACTAAAAATAGAAAAATCAGCCGGTCATGGTGGCGCACGCCTGTAGTCTCAGCTACTTGGGAAACAGGAGAATTGCTTGAACCTGGGAAGTGGAGGTTGCAGTGATTGTGCCATTGCACTCCAGCCTGGGCGTTGCAGTGAGACTCTGAAAAAAAAAAATTATTCTGTCCCCTCTACCGGAGAGAATTCTACACAGAAACAACAACAAAAACCCAGAAAAACTAGAGACCATTCTCACATACAAATATAAAGTCCATACTAAAATTTAATAAACCCAGCAGTGTATTAAAAATAACACATTGTGTATACAGGGATGTATTATAGGTTGAAAGAAAGTACCTTGGAGATGTGTTTGATACAGTTCAAAGTGATTTTTAAAAGAGATACCATGTAAAGGAAACTGAACTTAATGTGTGCTAAGCAAAGAACTTTCAGAATTATTTTCAGTGATGAGACATTGGAGCACAGTAACATCTTGCCATAATGTGATAGGTGAGGTAAATATTTCAGTTGGGTAAAATGGGTTATTGTAAGTTGATGAAATAATTAGGATGCAATTCGGAGCGTGAAAAGCAATCATTTGCATTATATCAGAATTCATCACTTCTGTTCTCATTAAGGCCTAAAACAAGAACGTCAGCTACTACTACAGTTCTACAACATTGTTCTCTGGGGCTTAGCAAATGATAAAAGTACTGGGAATGGAAGAGACTGAATGTAAGATAGTTTACCTTATGGAGAGATTGAATGTTATTCACAAAGTGTAAGATAGTCCACGTAGAAAATACATCCCAGAAACTGAAAAACTGCTAGGACAGTTCAGTAAGGTGATAAAGTTCAAGATAAATATGCAAAATTATTTAATATTAGTTTCTTTATTCACCACACACGCGCACATACACACACACACAAATCAAAATGTGATAGATGTAAACTACCCACGTATACATTTAACACGAATACTCAAGATATGTATGAATAAAACATTTTGCTAAAGAAGATATGAATTATAAGGAAAATATTGGATGGGATCAATGTACAGATGACTGCCATTTTTTTCTACAAATTCAACATAATCCAGAAAGGCTTAAAAAATTTTTTTTTGTTTTTTTTTGTTTTTTTTTTTTTTTTGAGACAGGGTCTCACTCTGTGGTACAAGACGAGGTAGAGCCTGGGAGTTTGAAACTAGCCTGGGCAACATAGGGAAACCCGGTCTCAAAAAACAAAAAAAAACAAAAATTGGCTGGGCATTGTGGTGTGTGCCTGTAGTCCTAGCAACTCGGAAGACAGGTGGGAGGATCGCTTGAACCCAGGAGACAGGTTGCAGTGAGCCCAGATGGCGCCGCTGCACTTCAGCCTGGGTGACAGAGCAAGACTCCGTGTCTAAAGAAAAACAAAAAAAAAAAGGACAGGCGGGCGGGTGCCGTGCCTGTAATCCAGCACTTTGGAGGCTGAGGATCGCGGCATGGCTTCAGGACCCCATGACTTTCCAGACCAGCATGGGCAACCATGGGCAAACTTCCATTTTTCAAAAAAAAGCCAGGGCATGGTGGTACACTGCCTGTAGGTCCAGCTTACTTGGGGTTCGGCAGCTGAACCGTGAGGGGATGGGGCTTGAGCCCAGGGAGTGGAGATTGCAGCGGCCTAGATGGCGCCATTGCCCACTCAGCCAGCCTGAAGGTAACAGCAAGAACCTATCTCAAAAACAAAAATATTAAAAATATTTATAATCAATGTAGGTGAGGATATATTACTGTTATATCTATCAAGATTTAAAATGTCTCACCTTTTGACCCAGAATTCATATCTGAAAATAAATCATAAATATTTGCTCATGTTCATAAAGATATATGTAGAAGGATGTTCATTCCAGTGTTGTTTACTTATTTTATTTTATTCCTGTATTGCCCAGGCTGGTCTGGAACTCTTGGCTTCAAGTGATCGTCCCACCTCAGCTTCCCAAAGCAT